TTAACTTTGATAAAGAATATCTCTTTGGTTTTCAGACTTTAGTCTTTGCAGCTTCAGGGATCTTATCTATGCACAATCAGCTCGTAACACTCCAAAGAGAAAGAACAACTTGAAATCACATCATATGACCCCTTTAATTGGAAAGATTTTCATTTGCGAAATTGAGCAAAAACAGACAATATTGTGTCTAAAACACAATATCAACTTATTGTTAATTGAACTGTTGTATAAAATCAATATTGCAGTCATGCAGATGTTGGGGAAAAACAGCACTTTTATTGGTGTGATATTGCTAAACTATCTCATATAAAATAAATACAAGAAAAAAAATCAAATAGAGTAAATTTTTTTTGCCCTCATATTTTGAATTTTATTTTGAATCATTCTGATTCATCAGCAGCTGCATTAATGTAAGATGATGTACATGATTGGATGGGGCGGTGCATTAATTGCCTTAATCATTTTAACACATTATTTCTTCTATAATTAACCACACTAAATTAATACATTAAATTGACAGCATCATATAAGTCATATAAGTTAAGACTTGAAATAATAGATAACATAAGATACGTAACAACACTAAACACCCGGAAAGGTTGCTTCCAGATGTGTTGTGCTGTAAGCGTGTGCCCTTGACCTGACTTTGCACCGAGGGGAGCATCTGCTCCTCTGGATGAGCGTCTGCTTAATGACCTGTAACACAAACATAGTTTGTCAGTTATCTTCTAGTGCTTCTGGGAACACGGCTCATTGAAACAGGTTCAGTCAACCTTCAGCTCCTCACGCAATCTCACGCAAAAATCGCTCACATTTCACCCCAATATTCAAAGAAAAAATTATCTGATAAATTATCTTCACACTCCACAATAAGTGTTAACATTAGTTAATGCATTAGTTAACATGAACAGCTATTATTAACGTTTGTTAATGTTAGTTATTAAATCTAGTTGTTTATTGTTTGTTCATGTTAGTTCACAGTTCAATAACTAATGTTAACTGAGATTAATAAAGGTACTGTTTATGAAGTACTGTTGCATAACAATTTTTTTTTTTAATGAAATGTGCATAATTGCTGAAAATGTCACAGTGCATAATATATGCTTCATTTTCTTTATGCAAAATATAATTTATAAATTTTTTTTAAATTATAGCATTAAGATTTTTGGATAAAATGTACATAATTGATCAAATTAATGTGACAGTGAAAACAAAAATCTTGATATATGCTTAATTTTTCTTTATGCAAAATATATATTTTTTTAATTACAGACATTTTTTTAATGAAATGTGCATAATTGATTAAATTAATGTCACAATGCAAAAAAATGCTTCATTTTCCTTATGCAAAATATAATGTATTGTTTCTTAGTTTTTTTTTTTACAGCAATAGGAATTTTTTATGACGTGGATAATTGAAATGAATGTCACAATGCAAAAAAAAAAAA